ATCAGTGGGTTAGCCCACTGGTGAGTTCACAGCTGGCAGTGCTGTCAGGAGGTGGTCACTGGGGGTACCTGGAGATGAGTTCTTGTCCCTGGCTCCTCCTTTCTCCCTCTGCTTCCTCACTGCCATGCAGTGAACAGCATTCCTCTGCCAGCCCATCCTCCATGATATGAACCTGCTGACCATGGACTGAATCCACTAAAACCGTGAGCCAAAATAAACCTCTCTTCCTTTATATTGTGGGTGTTGGGTGTTTGTCTCAGCAAGGGGAAAAGTGACCAAGACACCTAGCATATGTGAGGGCTTGGGTTTGGTTCCCAGTACCACACACACACACACACACACACACACACTCACTCGGCTGGAATTTCTGCATGTGCCTGCACTAAATACCTATAGCTCAGTATGTGGAGCACTGACACCTTCATACTGAGCCCTCCCATCCAGGAACACACTGAATCCTTCTGTTTAGTTCTTCAGTGTTCAAGTCAGGCACCTGAATATTTTGTAAATATTTCCCTTATGCATTTTATGTGTTCTGATGCTAGTATGATTCTAGTGTGGCTTTTGGGTTTTAATTACATCATGTAATTGTCACTCATGTGTAGAAACACAATTGAGTTATGCATAGTAGGGGAAAGGAGTATGCTTTTCATCTGTTCCATAATTTACCCTCGAAACAACTGAAATGTGTGAGCCGTTGTGTGAGTCAATAAGTTCTATCAGATCCTTAGAAAAACAGATCCTTTGATTTTCCCAGATGTAAAGAACTACAAACGCTTTAACAGATTTGTTGTTTGTCTCAGACAGGTTCTCACTGTTTTGCCTTTGCTGGCCTGGACCTCCTAGCCTCAAATGATCCTCCTGCTTCAGCCTCCCTAGCAGCTGAGACTACAAACTGCTGGACACCATGCCCAGTTTGCTCTTCCCTGATTTAATCAGCAAGAGGCAGAAAAGCAAATATAAGACAGATCCAAACCCCAATAGGATATAAATTTCTAACTCAACTCCTTAGTTTGTACCATCTGTTTCCTCACTCTGCTCTGGCTTCTCACCAGTCCGAAGTTATTGAACTGCAAGTCCCCGTTCTCCTCCATCAAAACTCCTGCTATATCTGAACATCCACATCGAAAACAACCCTTCTCACTGGTGTGATGGCACACACCTATAGTCCCAGCTCTCAGGAGGCTTAGGCAGGAGGATCACCGAAAGTTTGAGGCCAGCTTGGGCTGTATAGTGAGACTCTGCCTCAAAAACAAAAACAAACAAACAAAACAAGGCCCTGGGGCCGGAGATTTAGCTCAGTGGTGCTGCACCTGCCTGGCAAGCGCAAGGTCCTGAGTTTGATCCCCAGTACAAAAAAAACACAACAAACCCAAGGCCAGTCTGGACTACCCGAAACTCTGTCTCAAAAACATAGGGCCAGAAACCACTGTGGAAATCCGAATGGAGATACCTCAAAGAACTAGGACTAGAGGTCCCATTTGACCCAGCTATTCCCCTACTGGGTATCTTCCCAAAAGAATTAAAAGAATCATACCACAGTGATA